AGGATAGCCCTAGCTAGAGGACTTAAAACCCAAATTATGTCCCAGTCAATGAGTCAACTGGGCTCTAGATTTCTGATAGAAGCGTTAAAGGAACCCCAAGCACCCGAAATGCCAGGTGAGCGGATGCAAAGATGAGGTAGTCGGGCCCATCATCCGGGGAAGCTACACTCTGCAAGAGAAGAATCACGAGAGGAGCTCCGGGGTTAAGGGCTTTTAGGATTAGGGGGTTTTAGGTGTAGGGCTTGAGGGTTCAATTAGGGTGTAGGGCCTAGGGTGTTAGGGTTTAGAGTTGCTTTTAGGGTTGAGGGTTTAGGGTTGTTGGACTTTAACATTTTAGGGTGCAGGGTTTTTGGGTTTAGAGTTTGTCGTTTGGGGCCTTTAGGGGGTTTTAGGGTTTGGGGGTTTTAGGGTGTAGGGTTTGGGGTTTCGCTTCCTCGAGTTTAGGTTTGTGTTGGTTTTAGGGTGAACCGTTTGGGGCCTGGGGCTTGGGGTTCTTGTAGGACTTTAGGGTTTTCGGGTTTCAGGTTTATGGTGTAAGGTTTTCGGGTTTCGGTGTTCTTGTCAGGGCTTTATAGGCGCCCTAATAACTAAAGCAGGTTTGCGAGTATGGTTTGGGTGCTTAGGCTTTGGGGTTGGAGTTCCAGGTTTAGTTTAGGCTTTGGGGATTTCAAGTTTCGGACTTCTGTTGAGGATGCATATGCTTAAGGAAAAGGATTGAGGTTCTGGTGTTTTCAGCTGTGGGGTTAGGGTTCAGCGGTGGGGTCCGGATTTGAAGGGTTTCAGGGTCAACGGTTAGGGTCGGGGATTTAACGGTTTTGGTTTAGAGTTGAGAGGTTGGGGGTTAGATTTGAAAGCCACATGCGATGGATAGTACACGATGTGGGTAGGTTTGGAGACAAGGTACAGGTAGTTGTCTCGATAGTGTAAGCCTGCAATGAGAAACCATGGCCATATTCAATACCCAGGACCCCTGAACCAATCGATCAGACTCGTTTAAGTACAACTCGAAGTTGCAAGGTTTAGGGGTTTAGGGGTTCAAGGCTTCAAGAAATGCATGGCCGAAAGTTTAAGATTTACCCTTCGCACAACACTAAGAAAGCAGTACCTTGTATTTCTGCTCCGTGAAGCAGCATGCTGAAGATGTCCCAAATCATAGGTATAGCTTGTGTCACTGGTCCCAACAACTCAGCTTAAACCCCAAACCCATGTTGTTCTTGGTCCCAATGGGGGCACCAAGACAGGCCGGTCTTCAAGAAAGATGAGAAGGTCGGTCCCAAAGCACAGACAGAAGTTATGCTGCCTCTCGGCTTTAGGGATAAGCTCCAAAGCCTAAACATCCAAATCCTAAATGCATCCACGCGTGGGTCTCCATGCTTGCATGTGCTTACCCTGAGGCTCCAGAGTAGTTCCTTTTTGGGATTACCCTATAGGATTCTGAATATGAACCCCCAAAAGGAACTACCTGGGGCCTGAGGGTAACTTATCGAATCGAAGGGTGGCACTACCCTAGACCCTAAACCCCTAAACCCCTAAACCCGAAACCCCAAACCCTAAACCCCAAACTCTAAACCCCAAACCTTAAACCCCAAACCCTGAACCCTAAACTCCTAAACCCCAAGCTTTTGTTCTTGTTTGCCGTGGCTGGAGTCCCTAACACGCGAATCCCTGTAGCTATCCCAGTTGGTCGACCCGAGACCGTAAGACATCCAATGACAACCCAAAGAACTCAATACCCCTTAATTAAGGAATATGGCTTAGATCATAAGTTATATTGGGATTCATATTATGGTTTAAGCTATATACTCCTTAATTAAGGGGTATTGGGCTCTCTGGGAATAACCTTGCGCTGCGGCTTTGGGATGCAACGGGTTTAGGGTTTTAGGGATTTTAGGGCGTATATAGGGTGTAGGGTTAGTCCCATTTCCCGGGTGCTTGTGTTGCTTCCTACGTCCCGCACCACGCTCTGCTAATCGGCCCTGGGCGTAAGGGTCCAGGGTCCATGGACGCTTTAACTCGAGTCCTTGTAAGGGTTGTTAAGGGTTTGTATTTGTATATGGCCAAAAAAACCGTTTAAGACCCTTGAAGGTTTTTTGTAGGGTTTTCTGGAGATTTACTACAAGGTTTTCTCGGGGGCCTGAAAACCGAGGGCGGGTCCTATACAAGGTAGTTGAGGCAACAAGTACAGGCTAATATCGGTACACCGTCCCTGTGTAGCTGCTTGTTTGTGTGAGCTTGCAGTTGGTGACAGATTGTGCCCCAATGCCTTGCTAATGAAAGATTGAGTGCCCGCCGTGGCACATCCACAAGCTGTAAGGCCAAAAGCACTTAAACCCTGCATCCTACAAACCACCCCGAGCTCTTTATACGAACCCGTATGGGAAAGGAGCCCTGAGACGCGGAGCTCGAGGTATTGCCAGGAAGGCAACAAGGCCTAGGCCTAGACCACTAAGGCCCTACCTTAACCCTGAAGAAGCTACTTTTTTGAGGACGTATATAAGGAAATCATAATAGGGAACCATAAAAAGGTAGGTAGTTCAGGGTTATAAGGTACCCTAAGGCCCCAAAGTTGTTCCTTTTTGGGGTTCATATTTAGAATCCTACAGGGTAATCCCAAAAAGGAACTACTTTGGGGCCCATGGGTCAACCCTACCCTAAACCTTCAGCTCTCGAGGTATTTCTGGGAAGACCAGGAGAGCCCCGACTTCAGCGGCTGGTGGTTTGGCCCCCAAATCGGTGGCGATGAGGCCGAGCTCCAGGACTTCCTTCAGAAGTTGTGGGGGCTGCGGGCGCTAAGGCTCCATGTAGCCATCTAGTATATACTTAGGCCTTAAAGTACCTACATAGGAACGGCTTTGAGGCCTAAGTATATACTAAATCCTATCCCAACCATGAGCTAGTAGTTACAGTCTTCTAGGCATTTCTGCTAGAGCTTCCGCGAGAATGTGCGCTCCAAGCGGAGATAACAGCACCCTTATAAACACCCCTTTAAAGGGACCCCTATTCTAATTATGAAGGCCCCTACTAACCAGCAGCGGACGTTGGCTTGCTGTGACTCAGTCTCTGGCGGGTGCGGGAAAGACAGTGGGCTTTCTGTGGGTGCTTTCGGTGGCTCTCATCATCATGTGGGCTTTCTGTAAGACTGTCCCAGGTGCTGATGGGTTGTCTTGTGGGCTTTTCTGTAAAGCCGGCTTTCTGTGAAGCTGTGCCGGCGGGAGTTGTGAGGAAACAAGCAGCGATGCATGCAAAATCTGTCAAACTGCTGAGGGTTGGGCGGTCCCATCCTTGTCCTTTTGCGGAGCAGCTCCAAATTGAGAAAGGTTGGGGAGGGGATCCTATCTTTGTCCTTTCGACAGCCGCTCCAATTCGGTTGGGTGAGCCCTATCCCTGGAGTTTGGAGGCATCCTTGTCCTCTTAGAGGCCGCTCCAAAAGGTGAGGGTTTGGGTGTGCAACCCTTGTCGAAAGGCCGTGCTGGCAAAAAGTCTCGGGTTTAGGGTTTCCCCCGAACCCTTTGAAGCAATTTATCTTTCCTATGGGGTCGGCACAAAGTGCAAAAGTACGATGGCACATTTCCGGCCTGAAATGTGTCATGCTTCTTTCTGTAAGGCGGAAAAGGTGACACATTTCCGGCCTGAAATGTGTCATGCTTCTTTCTGTAAGGCGGAAACGATGACACATTTCCGGCCTGAAATGTGTCATGCTTCTTTCTGTAAGGCGGAAAAGATGACACATTTCCGGCCTGAAATGTGTCATGCTTCTTTCTGTAAGGCGGAAAAGATTGCCGGCCTGAACGGATGATGCTGATGATGCTTGGGTGAGGTTTTGGGCTTTAAGGTTTAGGGCCGAGGGTTTGGGCTTCAAGGTTAAGGGGGACCAACTTAAGTGCCTCGCTTAAGACTAGCAAGCAACAGTGTAGACACTTGAATAAATTTAGGGTTTAGCTCACTTAAGAGTAGTTAGTTGGCATTCTCATAACTGTGAGGTTTAGGTCCTGCCGCAGACCGACTATAATTTAGGGTTTAGCTTACCCAAGACTGGCAACCAACTATGAATAAATAGCTTGCACCATATACAACAAACCTAGTTGGTTGGAAGGATCTAGGGTAAGTCTAAGCTCGACAATCTTAAAAATCATAAATCAGCTGTGTGAGGAATATGAACTGTTGTATTTTCCTGATGGTGTGGGAGGGCGACATAAAAGTGTGACAGGCTAAGTTGTAGGTAGAACTCTCTGAATGATGATGAAGGAACTTTATATTGCTTAATGTTATGGGATTCTAAGGGTGGGTGGGTGTTATTTCTAAACATTAAATACAACTCTACTTTAAAACTGCTCGATCCGGAGCTGCTGAATCCTAAAACCTTAAACCCTAAACCCTAAAGCCCTAAACCCTAAAACCCTAAAACCCTAAACCCTAAACCTAGTCTGCAGGTTTGGGCCTTCCACCCGGATGCTACGGCCATGAATCCGCCAACGACAGGATGGCAGCGCCGGGCTCATTCGGTTTAGGGTTTTAGGGTTTACGGGTTATTGTTTAGGGGTTTAGGGTTTTAGGGGTTTAGGGTTTAGGGGTTTGGGGTTTAGGGTTTAGGGCCTAGCAGGCCTTGTGTTCCCTTCAATGTTGCGGGTTAGGTTGATTGGGTGGTCACCTACAGTCTCCATTGTGGTTCCTTGTTTTGGTTAACCAAAATCGTAGGGATCACCTGCTCGTGGAGTTGCTGTTGCTTCAGGCACCAGAGGCTCAAGCGGGCCACGTGTTCATACAGTAGTAGGGTTTCGGAAACGCCTAGATGGAGCATGTTATGGAGGCCCTCGCTCTCTGGATCTCCGAGTGGCAGGTCATTGTGGGGCTTACGACGATCACCGTACTTGTGATTTTGGGCATCATTACCGTTTCGTGCCGGCAAATTTCGTATAGAGCATCCAAGACACCGGAGGAACAGCGAAGAGACGTGAATCTCATGGGCTGTTTCCGGCTGTTCGATTTATTTGGGGGTGCAGATGTTGGCCTTCGGCAGCTTAAAGTCTTCGCCAGCCGCTGCCTTGGTAGTGTGCATGGTGTTTCCGGTCATTCAAGGGTTTTTTTACGTTCACGGTCAGCGCCTTCAACTTCGATGGGCCAGGGAGGGGAGTCGCCAATCTGTAGTCGTTGCGGACTCCTTGATGCCGACCAGCGTGTACACAGACATTCAAATAGGGAACCTCCTTCAGTGTGTCGCGATCTTTGCTGGCCAAATTATGCTTTACTGCCTCGTGCTGCAGGGAGTATGGGAGCGCGAACACTATGCGGAACGGGTCATCCCAACAAGGGCAACATCATTCTTTCTCGCCGGCACCGTGGTTGCTTTTATGCAGGAAATCGTGTTCATTATTGAGGACAGCTGGCGGCGGGAATGGGCAAGCTTTTGGAGTGTGTACATCGGAAAGCCAGGCGTCAGAGCCCGGCGCTGGGCGTGGAGTCGTGTGGGTATGTCCTTCGTGGTCAACTATTACTTTCAGAAAACCATGGTTTTGGTACTACCTCTGTTCTTGATGGAATCAAGGGATTGCAGCGAGTTTGTGAAGGATGCGACGTCCGTGTTGTTCATCGCCAAGATTGACGATATTATTTTTGCCGAGAGTCATCGCGTTCCTCTCAAGAGTCGGGATGAAACAGAAGAGCCAGATCTCTCCACGGTTGCTGACGCAGAAGTAGAAGCGTGACTGAAGGCCCAAATGCAAGTCCGCACGGCTTGGAGGGACGCCGTAAATGTCTTTTCTCTCCGTGAGCCACTGCTCTCTTTGCATGCTTGAACGTCCTACCGGCATCAACTTAAATTTGTTGGGCCATGAGGAATTCATTGCCTTCCTTTCTCTATAGGAAATGGTGTAGAGGAAGAAATGCTGACGTTGACTTCTTTCAGCATCCTTTACTCCGGGAAAAGAGCACGTGAGAAGGGTCGCGGTGGCTTTCCACAAATATGGCAGCGCCGGGCTCATTCAGCCTAGGGTTTAGGGTTTTAGCGTTTATAGGGTCTACCTTAAGCCGGAAGAACCTACCTTTTTAAGGACTTATATAAGGAAATCATAATAGGGAACCCTAAAAAGGTAGGTTATTCCGGCTTAAGGTAGGTCTAGGGTTTAGGGTTTTAGGGGTTCAGGGTTTAGGGCCCAGCAGGCCTTATCTACCTTTCAGGGTTGAGGGGTAGGTTGATTGGGTGGTTACCTACAGTCTCCATTCTAGTTCCTTTTCAATGGTTAACCAAAATCTATATTATAGGATCCTAACCATAAAACTGGTTAACCAAAAAAGTAACTACAATCGAGACTACAGGTAGTTCAGGATTAAGGGTTCAGGGCCTAGGGTGTCATCTTGCCAGGGTTCCTTTAAAGGTCCGGCAAGGGCTTTTATCTTCATTTCAGAGTTCCTTGGGTCCTTGAGTTTCGGAAGGTCCTGTCAGGGTTCCTAGAAGGGGCTAAGGGTCTTGAGTGTCCCCTACAACAAAACAGATTCAAGACCTTGAGCCCTAACTCCTAAACCGTGAACCCCAAGAACTTCCACTTGGCCGGTTGATCTTGAGGCTTCGGGTCTAGCAGGGCCTTCTTGGGCTTTCGTCTTAGCGTGGACCTTCTTGCATGTATTATCTTGGTTTTAGGCTTTGCGGGTTTAGGGTTCGGTAGTTCAATTGCTTGTTCCCTAAATGCTAAACCCTAAACACCAAAACCCCTAAACCCTAAACCCATGTTCGGGAAGGTATACTCCGAACATCGCTCGTCTCCAAGCCCGAAAGGATGGAATCTCTAAGCCTTAAACCTCCACCCTAATGCGGGAACCTGATTAAGAAACCTTGGGTCTTTATTAGGGTTCTTAATTTAATATGTATCCTAGTATATTTGGGAGTTTCCGAAAATAGGGGACCCTAATATGGTACCCTAAGTAGTAGGATCCTTATTATGAGGACCCCCAAATAAGGTCCCCTTATTGTCGGGAACTCCCATTTGGGTTACAGGGCCAGGGTTTCTTAATCAGGCCTAGATTAAGCCCAAATCGCAGAAAGCGTGATCGAACTCTAAGCCTCCCGGCCCTACGCAAGATTAAGTCTCCCGGAATAAGAATCCCTAAGGCTCCACGTGCCCATATAGTATATACTTAGGCCTTAAAGTACCCATATAGGGACCCCTTTAAGGCTTAAGTATCTACTACAAAGGTGCATGGAGCCTTTGGGAATAACCATGTATAATTTCCCATCCTATCGCCACCACTGGAGGGGTTGATAGCTTCGGGTTTACCTGGAATGTGAAGCCCCAAACTTCACACGCATCGTCAGAACAGACCTACAAAACCTCAACACATATTGGTTTAGGGTTTAGCATGCGTGGAGTTACCCTCACTATATAGCTCAAAAATCGGCTGAAAATTGCCATTGCCCTCAGATATATCTTTGGTTTAGGGTTGAGTATAAGGCCACCCGTACTAACTATCCCTTAAAGCTACCTCCGTTAACCCTAAACCCCAAACCTGAAACCCTTGACGCTAAACCCTAGACTCTAGACCCTAGGCCGTAGGCCCTAGAATTTGAAAACAAAATCGACACCCCAAGCCATAGGCCCTAAACCCTAAACCCCTAGACCCCTAAACCCCTCGACCCCTAAACCCCTAAACCCTAAACCCCTAAACCCTAACCCCTAAACCCCTAATCCCTAAACCCCAAAACACCCCAAGCCAGACAAGCAAAGGTGCCCCTTCGACGGCCCCGTCGACTCCAGCATTGAGATAGTCACTCGGACATTGTGCTTCCAAAGACTCCCAGATTTCTTACATGGGTTCCTACATGGATTACTATATGGGTCTCATTGAGGCTTCCAGCATTTTAAGGCAGGTTTAGGGCTTCAAGGGTTTCGGGATTTGGTTTTTAGGGTTTGGGGGTTTGGGGTGCCTTTAAGAGTTCAACTTAGAAGGGTTCATTCGAGGTTTGCATGGGCTTCATAGGATTGGTTCCAGTATAGGGTTCCACTCAGGGCTCCTTTAAGGGGTCCAAAAAGATTTAGGGACTTGAGTTGTCAGGGCTTTCAGGTTCTAGGGTTTTGGGTTCTACGACCTACCTTGACCCCACGTAACCTACCTTTTTAAGGACTTATATAGAGAAATCATATTAGGGAACCCTAAAAAGGTAGGTTCCTTAGGGTCCAGGTATGCCCTACACCCCGGAATCCATGTCTCAGGTCCTTTGCTCGGTTCCCCTGCGCTTGAAAACGCGGATCTGGAACCCCAAATCCGGACTGCTAGGTCTACCGTCGCTCTTTTGTGAACCCCAGAAAGTTGGAACATCATTAGCCTCAGGCCCTTAAAGCAAAGTATAGGGAATCCTAGCACTGATCCTCCTAAATCCATGTTCCAACTTTCTGGGGTTCACTATATAGTGAACCCCAGAAAGTTGGAACATGGATTTAGGACGATTAGTGCTGGGATTTCCTATACCTCACCTCAAGGATATGATGTTCCAACTTTCTGGCTTCTACTGTAGCTGCAGGGTCAAGAGTCCAGTGTTTTTGGCTCATGGTGAGTGCGCGTTTGGATCCTGAGAAGTACTGGTTACTGCGTACATACGTAAGCAGTTCATTGACTCATGTTTTTTATTGTTAGTTTATGCAGATATTTGGATTGTTTTAACCTATCTTCATAGATACATAAATATTGTTGTTGTTTATATTTATATACATATATACATGTATACATACATACATAAATACATACATACATAATACATACTTGTATGATGTACGGTTGCTAGAGGCACGGCTCCCTAAAGGAGGCTGCTTTGGGGTGCGGGGTTTACGCAGAGAGTTGGAGGTTTTAGGGTTCAGGGCTTTTTGGGTTGAGGGGTTTAGGGTTAAGGTTTAGCATTGAGGAGACCTGAACCCCAAAACACCCCTAAAGTCTGCTGTTTTCCGGGCCTCAAATCTAATCTGCAAAGAGCCAAAAAAAACTGAACACCGGTAAGACAGTCCACCGATTGAACCTCTTGAAACACCAAGTTCAAATCCCTCGACCCTAAACCCTACTTAAAGGATCATGGGACTTAGTAACTAGGGTTATAATTAGGGTAACTATACGTATAACTACTTATAACCCCAATTAAGGTACTTATAACCTTACTTACTAAGTCCCATCATCCTCCAAGTGCCCGAAAGGCCCAGCCCTGAATCCAGTACCTTCAACCCCAACCTTAACCCTGAAGAACTTACCTTTTTCAGGATTTATCTAAGGAAATCATAATAGGGAACCCTAACAAGGTAGGTTCTTCAGGGTTAAGGAATGACTTAAAGCTTACCCTCCCTCCACACCCGCACCCTGTACACGATTGTATCTTGTCTAGACCGGAAACCCTAGCAAAAGCTTTAAACCATGCATGCTGAAGCCTGAGCCATTCCGCCTAAGAGTCTCGGGAGCAAGCTTACATCCTGTAAGTTCGTGGCACCTACATTGGGCTACCATAGCCTATGTCTTCACTGGGCTTGCTATGAACCTTGGTATGGACTTTAAAAATGGGTGTTTGGTAGGGTATACCGCAAAACCCGACCCCAAACTCAGAATCCCTCCTTTTCTCCGCGGCCCTCTCATCTTGAAACAGTCTAAGAACCTTAAACCCTGAACCCTAAACCTAATCCTAAACCCTAAACCCTTCTAAACTCCTGTACTCTGAGGTCACCCGGCTTACCAAGGGAGCCGCCGTTCCCGGGCGACAGCCCGGTACGTCCAAGGCCGGCAAATCCAGCCAGGCTGTTTCATGAATACGTTTCTAGTCGAATAACTACACTTTACCTTCCTTGGGTTGACATTACCCCACACAGGAATGAATTTTTGGATTGTTTTTGGCTTGGGGCATAGGAACTCAAAAATAAGTTATTGGTTCTGTGATTGTTATTATGAACATCAGCATCGTTATCACTATCGCTATCAAGCTTACTATCAACATGCTTACTGTCATGGGTTCAATTTCTGTTGTTGTGATATGTTGCGATGATACTTGCAACATTGTCACGATCTGTATTGCTACCAACATTGCTATGGCTCCTTCGCAACGGTTTTTGATTGGTAGTTTCCCCACAGATTCTCAACATATGTTGTGTTATTCATTGTACTGACATAGCTTTTGTTTGTATACTGTCCCAACTCAACTTAAGGCGGCAGTTTGCTTCAATACGCTTCCTTACGACTTTCATTGGCTTTGGCTTTGAGGTTGTGGGCAATCTGACGGTCCGACAAAATTCAGATACTTTCCCCTTGCAATATCATGCGACCCCTCTGAAGTCAGACATTTCATAATATGTTATAACCACTCGGGAGCCTCTGTCTCATTGTCTCGTTTGAATGAATGTGTGGCACCCGCCGTCTCTGCCCGACGCATGTGTGTTGAGTTGAGGTGGCAATGCCGGGTCTCAAATCCCAATGCCCTGATAAACCTTACGGCACTGCAAGTAGTTACCATTGTTGTTGATCGCAAGTGTTTTTTCAATCTTCTCAGGATGATTGTTAGTATCGTGTTGCTGTAGGTCTGATGAATGCGTGCATTGCGGCTGGATGGATGGATGGATGGATGGATGATGGATGGATGGAGGGAAGGATGGATGGAGGGACGGAGGGACGGACGGAGGGAGGGACAGACTGAGGGAGGGACGGACGGACGGGCGAACGGACGGACGGATGGATGGATTGATGGATG